TTTTTGGGTAAAAAAACGTGAAAAACGCGCGTAACGAAAATCAGGTCGTGATGTGTTTTTAAAAAAAAAAAATCCTTGATATTTCATCATCATGACCGTTTATAATTTTAATAAATTTTTTATTTTAAAAAAAAAAATTCTGTACCGATTCGACATTGTTTCAACTCCAAACCTTCTTCTTCCACTTTCCGCCAGAATCAAATGCCATCATCGATATAATAAAAAATGGTCGTTTAAAAACCTGACAGAGAGAGAGAGAGAGAGGTAAATGGAAAAAAAAATTCCTTCTTAATATCTCGTTTGATTCGAGATGTAATTAATACGAACCACGAGTCCAACGTCGAACAAACGACGGAGGAAGAGCAACAACAACGACAACAACAACCAAAAAAAAAAAAAAAAAAATTTTACGTCGTCCCAGTATCGTTTTACACTCCCGTTTCCACCACATCTCGTTTTAAATCTTATTAATGGATCGGGAAAAAAAAAAAAAACGAAATCCTTATTACCACGACAATCCTATCCTCCCCCCCCCCCGTCTTGTTTTCCAAAACGTTAAAATGTCCGAACCGAAAACCTGAACCGAAATGAGAGTAAAAAACGAAAACGAAAAAAAAAAAAAAAAAAAAAAAAAAAAAAAAAAAACCTTCGGGTCGTTCGATTCGACGAGGTCAAAAGGTTAAATAAAAATTATTTAAAAATTAATAATAATAATAATAATAATAATAATAATAATAAATAAACTTGAAATGATTATTATTATTATTCGAATGCGCGAAATTTATGACGCAAAAAAAAAAAAAAAGAAAAAAAAAAATTTATTCCTACTCTTCTTCTTCTTCTCCGTCTTCTTCCACGTCTCATCTCACAATAATAATAATAATAATAACTACCTTTAAATTATTATTTATGGACTTTTAAAACTTGTAAAATTAATACCAACACCACCACCGCCCCCATCTCTCTCTCTCTCCCCCTTTTACTCAACAATAAAAAGAATTTTAATCCCGGCAAGTATTCGAACAATGGGTGGAGGAGAGGGGAGGGAGGGGGTGTTAAAAAGAAATGAAAAATTGGCAGGTAGGTCAGGGAATCAGGGATTCGAAATCGAAAGAGGGGATTTAAACACGTTAAGGAAGGGGAATCGAAAGGATGCCGTGCATGCATGCACCTGATTCCATTTATTACAACCCTTCTTATAAACTATTTAAAAAAAATTAATAATAATAATAATAATAATAATAATAATAATAATAATAATGGCTAGATTTTTTCCCCTTTTTTAAACCTCTTGGAAAAAAAATACAGGTTTGAAACTAGACAATGGATGATGATGATGATAATGATGATGATGATAATAATAACAAATACGAATTTTTGTTTTTGTTTGAATTTTTTTTTTTTTTTTCCTTATAACCGCTGGGATCTTTTACAACATGTCGGATGATCCAAGATGACGACGATGTTGATGATGATGATGATGATTTTACGTTTGTATAAACAATGAACATGATTTAGATAGGTTTTTAAAGTTGGAATTTAAAAACTAGAAAACTAGTTTTACAAAAAAAAAAAAGAAAAAAAAATCACATTTTCTTTCTGGTCCATTGTTTCGCGGAAACGTTCCTAACCAGCATCTTTTAAAAAAATCAATTCAAAGAGATGAGAAATCGAAATCATCATCATCATCATCATCTCTTCTCGTCTTACTTTAAAACGAGTAAAAAAAAAAAAAAAAAAAGAGAGATGGGGAATGAATCGTATTAAACAACAACAACAACATTCTCGTTGGGTATTAAACGAAACGTTCCGAAATAATAATAATAATGATAATAATAATAACCAGGTATTTTCATCATTCCGCACGCAGTATATACATAAATAAATAAATAAAGATTTATTTAACGTTATTAAACTACTTTTTTTTTTTTTTTTTTTTAAACGAATGGTGAGGAGGTTTTTGCTCCTTCCTTTCCTGTTTCTCTTTTACCTTCCGTTCCTCTCCCTCTCTCTCTTGTTTTCCTCGAGATACAAATGTCGTTACGAAAGGAGGATAAATCATTGGATTTTCCCCTCCCCTCCTCTCCTCCCTCGAGTGTTAGCTTAACCTAACGAACCTACCATCATTATTAACATTATTATTATTATTATTATTACTGCTACTATTTGCACTCCATATCCACCGTAGTCACCACCACCACCACAACAACAACAACCATTCGACAACCTTCCTCCTCATCATCATTCAAACCGCGTAATCATTACCGGTTTAAAATAAATAAGAAGCAGAAGACAAAAATAATTCATCGTATTTTTCACCCCTTGCAAATTTTTTTCAGGTACACTGACTACCTTTTTCCCGTCTCACTCGAATAAATCAAAAAAGGAAAAAAAAAATTATGGCGACGACAACGAGGACGACTACGATGTTTCCTTGATAACGAGATCAAACTTTAGGTAAAACACGCGCGCGCGTGCGGCACAGAGTAATGAATTCAGGTAGGTAAAAAATACAAACAAACAAACAAACAAACAGCAAACAAACAAAAACGAAATCGTTAATTTTTGTTTGCCTTAAGGATTAACCAAAAAAAAAAATAATAATAATAATCAGGGCGGGAAAATGGCGAAAAAAATTGAAAAATGAATTTTTTAACCGAAGGAATCAACGCCCGGTAAAATGTTGTTTGTCGTAACAAACGACAAACCGACGACGAGAGTACAAACAAACAAACGACAAACTCGTACACGACCTTTAAAAATAAATAAAACCGCCGCGGTGAAAAATTAAGATCTCACATCATGTGTGCGCACTTTAATAACTTTCTCATCGTACGTTTAAACCGTATAATAATGATAATGATAATGATAATAATAATAATAATAATAATAATAATAACAGGTGAACGTTCCCCTTAAGACGACATTCAAACAACAACAACAACAAACAGGTGATTAAAGGGGGCAAATCGTATTTTTTTTTTTCTTGTGCCACTTCTACTACCACGACTACTACCACTGCTACTTACGCATCTCATTCATCATCATCATCATCATCATCATCATCATTCATTATTATTACATTTTATTATCAATGCACACCCCATTTTCACGCGTTGTTTCCCCATCCCCTTCCCTTCCCTCTTTCACATTCTCTAATTGATCGCGATGATGATGATGATGATAATTTACGCGCGTTCGCATCGACGACACAATATCGAAATAATAATGATAACAACAACAAACGATTCGCGTAACGACAATTTTTTTTTTTTTTTTTTTAAATTTTAAAACGAAAGAAGAAAAAGAAGAAAAAGAAGAAGAAGAAGAAGCAGAAGACGAAAATAAGAAGAAGAAGAATAAAAAAAAAAAAAAAAATTAAATATTCGTTTTTTTTTTTTTTTTTTTATTTAAGGCTTGGTTAAGAGCGAAGAAACAAAATAATAATAATAATAATAATAATAATAGAAATCAAACGGAAAGAAAAAAACCGCTCTGACATTTCTCCCTCGCGCTTTTGTAAAACACACACACACACACAAACATGGCATCCTGACTTTAAAGTCTTGTGAGGAATGTAGACGTGATTTTTTTTCTTCTCTCTCTCTCTCTCTCTCTCTCACACTCGCACTCTTTTCCGCTTCAACTTAAGATAGTTAACCTTTGCATTGATTATGATACGGTCGAATCATTCAATTAAAGATTTTTTTTTTTTCCGTCGTTCGTCGACGGACCAAGTTGAATTTTTTTTTTTTTTTTACTCAACTTCGACGGAGACGAGCTCCAAAGACCGTTGAAGAAGTGGGGAAGGAGGAAGAGAAGAAGGGGGAAGAGGAGGAAACGATCGTTCTCCTCCGTTTTATTTCTTTTTATTTTAATTTTTTTTTCGAAAAAAAAAAAAAAAAACGTGGTTGAAGAAAAAAAAGAGGGTTGATTCTCGTGCGATTCAAAACACACACACGCACGCACGCACGCACACGCACGAATAATAATAATAATAATAATGATAATAAAACCAACAGGTTTTATTGTTTGTAAAAAAAAAAAAAAAAAAAAAAAACGTTACACACAAATCTCTTGTAAAAACGACAACAATGTAAACCTTTTGAAAAGAAATTCACCTGTTTTATAGCCCCCCCACCTTCCACTTCCCCTCCTCTCCACCTTCCCCTACTTCCTTCGACAATTACTTAATTTTCACGACATTTCACCACACATTCAAACGAACGAACGAACTAACGAACGATTGTTGTAACGAAATAATAATGGCGACCGTATAATAAACGTTAATGATGATGATAATAAATAATTAAAAATTTTCAAATTAATTACTAAAATAATAATAAAAAAAAAAAAAAAACGCCTTGAAAAGAAAAAATTCGATTCCCGTTTTTATTATTTTTTCTCGATTCCTTTGTTTTTTTTCTATTTTTTTCTTCAAATTCACAAAACGTTATTCACACACAAAATGGCCAAGGTCGAATTTCACGGCTTGAATTTGGCACACGCACACGCACGAAATAAGAGAGAAATAAATACATACATACGTACATTACAAACGCGAGACAGAGACAAAAAAAAAAAAAAAAAAAAAATGAATTTCTCGTGGAAGAAGAAAGAAAATAATAATAATAATAATAATCGTCGCCATCGTCGTCTTACCCGATTTTAACGAACAATCCAACACACAATTATAATAAATATGCGTGCGTTTGTATAAAATCGAGTGAGAGAGACAGAGAGAGAGAGAGACAGATAGAAAGAAGCCATTTTTTTTTTTTGCTCTCTCTCTCTCTCTCTCTCACTCTTTCTCTCTTTCCGTCTATTTTCACAACTAAATTTTACACTTTGGTTTATCATCACTTTATAACCTAACGTTTTTCGAAAATTCAAACGTTCAAAAGAGAGAGATAGTGATAGAGAGAGAGAGAGATAGAGAGTGAAAAGAAAATTTTCAAATAATGATAATAATAATAATAATAATAATGAAAATTACTCACCTTCGTCGATTAATCGTTCCACGTGTAAAAAAACATTTGGAAAAGCTGCTAACTGTTTTCTATCTTTTAATAACTGTGCTAAATAATCAGCAATGCTTTGAGTCGTCGCGTTTGTATTTGAATCGCACATTTTTCTTTCTATTTTTTATACGACAAACGACAAATATTATTTTATTTATATATTATTAATAAAAATAAAAAATAAAAAAAAAAACCGTACGAATAAAAAATAATAATACGTGCGTACGTGCGCGCGAGACCGTGTGATTATTATTATTATTAACAAATATTTTATTCGAAACTTTCCGTCGTGTAAAAATTCATTAAAATCACACAAATTCCCGACATTTATAATAAAAAAAAATAAAATTATTTTAAACGTTTTTCTAAAAACAATTTAACGATGATGATGATAATAACGATTTTTTAAACTTGAAAACAATAGAAAAAATTTAATAATAATAATAATAATAATTATAAACTTCGAAACGTTTTGATTAATTAATTAATTAATTATAAAAAAAAAATATATATATATGTATATATATAAATAAACAAAAATGTCAACGGTAAAAATAATAATAATAATAATTAATTAATAAAAAAAAAAACTACTTCTTCTTATTTTTAACTTTTTAAAAAAAATAAAATAAAATAAAAATTATGTAAAAAAAAAAAAACTCAAAAAAAGATTAGTAAAGCTACGCCAGATCAACTGTTACTAATCTTTCCTCTCTTGTATCCAGGATGTGACTGAATTTTTAAAAACCAACTCGTGGCGGCGCTAATATCGCTAGTTTAATTTCAACGCGCATGCGCGGGCAAAAAAATTTTTTAAAATAAAACGAAAAAATTTCAAAACCTCGTTCTTATTATTATTATTATCATTATTATTATTATTATTAATATCACCTACATCATCATCATTATTATCGTTTCGTTTTTTTTTTTTCTCTATGAGTACGAATTTGTCGCAACGTTTAAAATATCCGTTAATTAATGACGATTTCATATTACGATTTATTATTATTACTATTCTAAATCCACGTATATTTAAAAAAAAAAAAAAACGATTTAAGAGACCTCAAACGGACAATTTTGTAAATTATTGTAAATTAAAATGGCGGATTTCGAATTTTAAATGTTTGAATTTTTGTTTTTGTCATTGTTTTTTTTTTTTTATTGTCGCAGCCGTAAGTTTGGTTGTTACGTTGTTGTTTTTTTTTTGGGGGGGAGGGAGGAGAAGGGGGGGAGATATACAGGTAGTTTTCGTTTTTTTTTTATATAACGATGACAACAGTAAAAAAAATTTCGCCTTGATTTTTACTATACATATATATAAAGTGTAGGTGAACCTGCTGGACCCAAGGAAACAATTGTCAATCCACATATGGTCACACGTCGATTTCTTTTTTTTTTTTTTTTTTTTTTTTTTTTTCTCTCCCTTCCAGTTTAACTTCCCTTCCAAATATAACACACACGCACTTACACGCACACGCACACTCAAACAAATTATTAATTCGCCTCCTCACTTTTTTTTTTTTTTACTTTTTTGTTTTTGTCGACATATTCAGATTTTCCTTAAACTTTTCTTTTTTTTCTTCTGCTTCATGAGAATTTAAAAAAACTAAAATTTTTTTCTATTAAACTTTCATCGAATAGAAAATAAATAAATAAATAAACGACCTATTAATAAATAATAATAATAATAATAATAAAAATCGTGCGACAAATATGGAAGTTTTGTTTCTCTTTTTTTTTTTTTTTTAATAAAAAAAAAATTTTTTTTTTTTTTGTAAATCAGCTTTCACCATAGCTTCTCTCCCCCTCTTCCACCTCCTCCCCTTCTCCCTCCTCATCTATGACAATAAAATACGAATCCTTATATAGGAGGAAAACATTTCGTTTAACATCAATTATTGAGTTTTTTTTTTTTTTTTTTTTTAGAAATTTGTTTTATCAAAGACTTTACGACTTTACGAAAAAAAAAAAAAAAAAAAAAGTATTAATTGAATTAAATTACCTTAAATTTCTAACCTCTCTCTCTCTCTCTCTATCTTCCCCCTCCACCCCCTCTCTCCCCGTGAAATAAGAAAACAAAAGTCTTATGGATAGATTATAGGTATTAATTAAAAAAATGTCGTGTGAATTCTCATTAAAGGTCATAAAAAGTCGTTTTTTTTTTTTTATATCGTTAATCGACACTCCCAGTCACGACGATGATGATGATGATGATAACGTGTAATCACACGCACCCCCCTCCCCCCATGTGACCAAAAAAAACAAAATGGAAAACGATGACCACGTCTTTGTTCTCCCGTTAAAAAAATTAAATCCGAGGGGAAAAAAAAGGAAACCTGGACCAAAGATGCTGTTAAAACGACTGAATCCGAAACTATGATGATAATAATAATAATAATAATAACAATTTAGAATTATTATTATTATTATTATTATTATTATTTATTAATTACTACTGAACGTTTTAATGTTTTTTAAATTGATTTTAAATTTAAAACGTTTAAAAATAATTTTTTTTCTTTTTCTTTTCGACTGTTTTTCGGTTTTTTTTTTTTCCCAATAAAAAAAAAAAAAAAAAAATTACGTAAGTCCATTAGTTGATTGGATTAATAAAAAGAAGAGAAAGAGAGAGAGAGAGAGAGAGAGGGGGAGAGATAGAGGGAAAATATTATTATTATTATTATTAGTTTTTAATGTTTTTGAACTTTCGCGACACTTATCTTAAATTTTTCTTTCTTTTTTTCTTTTTTCTAAATCAAAATAATACCGGAATACAAGCAGAAGACGTAATAATAATAATAATAATATCATCATCATCATCATCATCATCATCGTTTATTATCGATGCGTGTGCGTGTGCGTGTACGTAATTATCATCATGTTCGTCGTCGTAATTTTTTTTTTTTTTTCTTTTTGATATACTTAAATTAAAAAACATGTTAATAATTTTTCTTACCTTCTTCTTCTTCATCATCATCTTCTTCATCTCCTTCCCCATCTCCTTATTCTTCTTCTTCTTCTCCTCTTTACACCTCCTGCTGTTTTAATTGGTTAATTTTTGATTTTTCTTTTTTTTTATTTACCATCATCTTCGCCATATTCTACAGTTCTCATCATCATTTTTTTCTTTTAATCACATCAACAAAACCTGAAATTTTATTATACGTTAAACTATTAAATTCCCTTTCGTGGTGGCAACGTTATTACGATGATAATAATAATAATAACGACAACAACAACACAGGAGGGAGGGGGGGGGAACTTTAAAAATTATGACGTCATTAGTTTTTACTTCGTCTTTCAAACGAATTCATTTTCGCATCATATACGTATTATTGACAATTAATTATTATTATTATTATTATTATCACTTTTGAACCCGTTGAGGTTCTAAATACCCGTCGGAGTTTTTTTTTTTAACATTCATTTCAGGTTTCTACCCGATTCCTTAGGGATGGCGATTTATCGGTGGTGCCGTCGGCGGCCGTTTTACTTCCTGTACGGTTTCTTCTTTTAGGTTCTTCAAAATCTTCTTTAAGTTTCCTTTTATTGAATGTGGCATCATGGCTCCCAGTGCTGCTCCCACGATGACCGGAATCGTTTCTGTCTTTACTCCCCACATCCTGGCTATTTCCGCTTCTTTGGCTGCCTCGTGTGTTTTTCCGCCTGTGTATGGGTACTTTAATCAATTTACACCACCTTTCGGTATTGTGCTTCGGGATGGTATCCGGTTTGTCGGCTGGAACACTTCCGTCAGTGTGGATTCGTTGATCGTACAGGATCGTGCAGGACCCCCGCTGTCGTAACCGGCCTTATTTATTATTATTATCATCTTTTTTTTCCTTTTAGGCTCCATTTTATTTAAATTTAATAATTTTTCATTCTTTTTATTTAAGGCACTAATGACGACCATGATAATGACGACCATGATGATGACGACGATGATGATGATGATCATAATGATGATGATGATGTTGATGACGATGACGATGACGATGATGATGATGATCATAATGATGATGATGATGTTGATGACGATGACGATGACGATGACGATGACGATGATGATGATGATGATGACGACGACGACGATGACGATGATGATGATGATGACTTTACAATCAAGGGTGAAACGAATGCGGCGTAAAAAAAAAAAAATAATAATAGTGAAATTGTTTGAAACTGACTGACATAATAATTAAATTTATTTATTTATTTATTTTTTTCATTTGGGCACGACTAATTATTAAAAAATGAAAAAATAAATAAATAAATAAGTAAAAAAAATTATTTACATAAAAAAAAAAAATTTCTAAATGGATCCATTAATGAAAATGTTAAAATAGAGAGAGAGAGAGAGTGATAAATTTGTTTGCGTAATTTGTTGACTTGTCTTTTATTACTCTTTGCAAAATAATATATTTAAAAAAAAATCGTCTGCTTTTTTATTTTTTTTAACTTCTGGTTTGTTCGTACGAATTATGATTTCCGTTTAGAAAAAAACAAAACAAGGGGGATGAATGAAAAGGGGCGTCGTTTCGTCGTTAATGGAATTTTAAAAACTCACACATAAAGTTTTTCAACACCATTTTAAAGAAAATCGTGATTTGAACCGTTTTTCGACGACGCCATCTTTATTTTAATTTATTATTATTATTATCTTCCGTATATTAATCTTATCGATACGTCGTGTCATTCTCTCTCTCTCTCTTTCTATCGTATGCAAAAACGAGAAAAGCGAAAAACATTTAACGACACAACCGTTACAACAACAGTTGCAACAGCATCTACTAAAATTAGTTCCACGACGAAAAGGACAATCAAGAGATATTAAACAAACAAAAACAAACAAACAAACTAACAAACGTTCATTTTTTTACAAAAATTCTGTCGTTTGAATTTCAGGTACAATATAATTTCTCACGCGATTAATACAAATAATTTCCTTGTTTCGTCTCATCTCTCTCTCTCTCTTCTCTTCTCTCTCTCTCACTCTTTCACTAATTCCACGTCTACTACCAATACTCAACACTGCAATACTTTCTTGTCTTTATTTATTTTTCTATCGTTGTCACATAAAAAAAAAAAACTTCACCGGGTCAATCGTCA